AGTCTCATACAAACTTTCATCCCCTATTTTACCCCCTTGGGGGTGGAAATTATCAAAATCCTATCACAGCGGATGCTTACGTCGTAACATCTATCTGCATGCCAAATTACAACCCGATCGGTTTAAAACTGACAAAGTCTCATACAAACTTTCATCCCCTATTTTACGCCCTTGGGGGTGGAAATTATCAAAATCCTTTCACAGCGGATGCTTACGTCATAATATCTATCTGCATGCCAAATTTCAACCCAATCAGTTAAAAACTGACAAAGTTTCATACAAACTTTCATCCCCTTTTATACCCCCTTGGAGGTGGAAATTATCAAAATCCTTTCTTAGCGGATGCCTAAGTCATAACATCTATCTGTATGCCGAATTTTAGCCCAATCTGTTCAGCGGTTTGGGCTGTGCGTTGATAGATACTTCAAAAGTCGATTTTTTTATTGATACAAAACAAAAGTTACAATTTCTGGAATTCCTTTGGTACCTACTTATATAAAAACTTTGCACATCCTAAGAGACCTGTGTACCAAGTTACATGGTTTTATCTCCAAAAATGACGAACACCCATATGCAACCCCTATTTCACCCCCACGCTGGTGTAAATTTTAAAATGCTAGAACAAACGATTTTTTGTTTATTATTTAGTGCCTAAATAGAAAATGTAAGGTATCTTCAAGAATGACGAACTTCATACAAACTTTCAACCCCTATTTCATCCCCTCACAGGTCGAAATTTCAAAAACGCTAGAACAAATGTTTTATAATTTTTTATCAAGTGCTTAAATATAAAGTTTCATGGTTTTATCTTTAAAAATTATGAAATCCCATACAACTCCCCCCCCCCCTTTTAACCCCTTACTACCCCTTTTTCGCGATAAAAAGTAGCCTGTGTTTTATCTCGGGGTCTAGAATATCTGTATACCAAATTTCATTCAAATCCGTTCAGTAGTTTTGGCGTGAAAAAGTAGCAGACAGACAGACAGAGTTACTTTCGCATTTATAATATTAGTTAGGATTATTATAAGCCTAGGTTTCCTCATCATGTTTGCCAGTGGTGTCTAAATAACCTGTAGTAGTACATTTATAATTCAGAGGAGTCACATTGGTACTCGATGTTGATAGATGTCAAACCCGCATCCTTTGAGATCTTAGGTAAGCCTCCAGGCTCCCACAACTGGTTTTACATACTTAATAAATATGGAAAATGATAAAGTGTTATAAATAATTGATTATCTAATATAAATGCCTAGTAATTTTATCGACTTTAAATAATATTCGTATACAAAGTGATTTTAAATTGATTTCGTGGTTGGTATGTTTAACTGAAATTGAATTAATTAGGTACGGTTCGGATTTGAAGTGATTGTATTAGTTAATATTATGAAAAATAGTTTTCAATCAATTAGTGTAACGTTTATGGATAAGGATTTTAAATACGTAGGCAGTACTGATATTTTTATAATTATTAAAGCAATAGCTTTTCTTTAGGGCTTTTTTTAAGAGTGGAAAATTATCAAATTACTTCGTCCGCCTGGGTGAGGCGGGAGGGAGTGTCAGACTTTTAATAACTAAAAACTAGGTACTCCGTCCCTACTCCTGCATTTCGACCTGGAGCCTCGGAAACCCGTTAAGTTCCCCGCGGCTCCGTATCGGTCTCCTTAGTTAGCATGACTGCAAAAGGAGAAGACGGCATACCAGTCCCCCTTACTCCACATCATGACCCGCACTACCGTCGCCATCGCCGATCACGTCCCTGAGGACATGGCGGTGCTCAGCCCACGCACGGCATTCCCCTAGTGTGTGTTCCACCCGGGCGTGTCCACCTGCCCTATCAGACACAGGTATCTCCCAAAGCTTTCATGTCGGTTGAAGACCTGCGTCAGCCGGTAGGTGAGGACGCCGTAGCGTCTCTCAAGCCACTCCTCAAAGAGGGGACTTACCGCTGCAATGGCAGCGAGCCCAGCCCTCGGTTGCGACAGTCGTTGCTGCCATTCCGCCATGAGATCGCGCCTGAGCTCTTCCCGCCACGCACTAATCTGGCGCAGTTGCAAAGTTTCGCCCCGGCGACGTGCCTCCGCGCGCAGACAGAACACGCCTTCGCCTCCAGATCCCACGGCGGTAATCTGGCAAGGAGGTTCGCCGTTTCCCCGGAGATCGTCTGGTATCCGCGGATCACTCGGATGGCCATGACCCTCTGTGACGTCAGCAGCGCCCGAGCAGGCCGCCGCATCAGGTTCGGCGCCCACACAGGGGCGCCATAGAGGGCCATGGACCGCACGACCCCAGCGTATAACCTCCGGTTTGTTTGGGGCTAATTATTGGATGATTTTCCCTAATTATAAAAAGAGGCAATAATAAAAGTATTGTATAAGAAATACAAATATATTTCCATTACCATGTACATAGTACATGGTAATGGAATGGAAATAACGCATATTATTATGTTAATTTCAAAGTAATTAATAAGATAGATTTAGGAGGTTGCCTATAAAGTTTTAAACCACAATAACGGCTTGTACTCGACAGCAAAATGTGTGATGAGTAAAGTAGACACGGTTAAATCGTGACAAATTTATGATGGCTAAGAACTAGCCAAGGAACAGCTTCGAATAGTTATGTCAGTTAATTGTACTCAAAAATTCTAAATCTATAAAAGATAAAGAGAACTATGAATTAAACCTAATAATTAAGTAAATTAATGAAATCTGTCAATCATTGTATTATTTAACATAGATTGTAATTTTATAACACACAAAATAATAATAAAACGAATAAAATATTATCTATTTAATAACATATATAGAGATAGTTTTAAATTATTATTCTTTTTCTAAAAGTACAAAACAAAAATAAAAAAAGAATACAAATAGTCCTTCTTGTACAAAATATGGTTCATAAAAATAAAATCACCATTGGCATTGATAAATTTTGGTAAATTACAATTTGAATAAAATAATAGGTAGATAACTATGATATTTACCGTTACACACAAGAACAATAGTTGCTACTATCAAATGGAACAATTTGAACATTGTCTTCTTTTTCAAAGTACTTCCCATCTTGTCAAATAATATCTACAGAAAAAACAGTTCGAATGGGTCTCAAACTTTTATTTTAATACAATGGCAACAAACATTAAATTATCAAGTATTTATAATGGAAGCTGTTCATGCTCAATTGCATTTACACATTATGTTTAGGGATCCGTGCTCAACAACTGCGAATGAGTTCACAAGGTTTAACTGTCCGTTGATTTTAGTCGTAAATTTGATTATATACAGTCTAGATGGAGTGTCAGTTCACGAAGAGCGTCACAAAAATTTACAGTGAACTTGCAATGCACTTTCCTGCCACGTAGTACCAATCGTGTCACCTAGATGTTTACTGCGTGAATGCATAATACAAAATAAAGCAAACAAAAAAGTACACTGCAAAAATGGCGGTATGCTCCATAAAATTGTGCTAAAATTATAAATGACGGTTAAAAAGTATACTAATCAGATCATTTATTCATTGCGGTGATTCCGCAAGGGCGTCCCGGGTCACGGCCACAGGCAAAGGAGGAACACCGCGATGGTTTTAGCTGGAGAGTCCGGCACAAACCCAAGTCGCCCCCACGACGTGGGAAGTCCAAGAGGATTGCCATCGCGTTATATAAAAAAAATGTCCATCGCTAAGTAATTAGAAACTACATTATTCGATTTATGTTTTTGATCTAACTAATTGACGCCAGATCTTATCAGTGTTGCCAATTTATTTTTCAATGTTCCCTTCTCATGAGTCTAGTCATAAAGAGGGAAAAATGGCCAAAAAATTATACTGGCTTGTAAATTAAGAATAAATTAAATAATTTACAGGCCAATGATGTAGTCAACTATCCACCGGAATTTTTAAACTCACTGGACTTGCCAGGATTGCCACTTCACAATCTTTAATTAAAAGTTGAATTGGTTGTTATAATATTGCGAACTATCAACCAACCGCGACTTTACAACGAAACACAGTAAGCGATACAAAATTACTAAACAACGCGATAGAAGCAACTATACTCAAAGGAAAGTATAAAGGAGAATATGTTCTCATACCACGCATCTCAATGATTCCAAATGATGTGCCATTTCAGTTTAAACGACTAGTTTCTAGAGCGGCTTGCTTTTGCTATGAGCATAAACAAGTCCCAGGGGCAATCATTAAGTGTTTGTGGTATTAATCTGGAAAACCCATGTTTCTCACATGGTCAATTATATGTTGCCTGTTTCCGTGTTGGAAAATCATCAGATTTGTTTAAAGATGCGAAAGGTAACCAAACAAAAAAAAACATCGTATATCATAAAGTACTACAGTAATGATAAAACTATTTTTTTGTTAATAATTCTGATTTACAAGATTAAAAATAAAGCGATTAGTTTTAAATCTTTATAATAATTATGTTTTATTTAATTATTTTTTATTTACCACACCCTATCAACAGGATTTTTTGCCCCGACTATAAAATACGTAGGAACAAAAAAACTGCCACATTACTAATTTTGAAGTAAAATAAACTACACATTTAAAAAAATGAACATCTTATATAATATCCATTAAATAGAGAAACGTCTTCGCTATCAACTGTCCGCCATCTTCTATCAATCTCAATCATACTCCGTTCGGATTCATTCACTCAACATCTTAGGTTACTTTGCCAAGTATTCAGATACACACATACAATCCCACATGAACGACGGAGTATGAGTAAATGGGGGTAAGTTTCAACAATGTGCCTGTCAGTAAGTCCGGTGATTAGAGTATCAGTTTTATTTTGTCTGTTTATGATTGATCTGTTGTCAAAAATCTATGTCTATTACGCAATATTGTAAGGCTGGCAGTTTGGCAGTAAATAAAGAAGTCACAATGAAAAAAAATTTATTTATGTTATGTATGATGACCTCAGTACGCAACTTCTCATGTAGTTAATAAAAATATTTTTAAGTATTATGAATATTAACTACATTCTTCGGGGCGGACACATAGTCCTACGTTGCTATCAAATATGAAACCTTTTCTGCAGCTACATGAATTAAGTGTACAAATAGCTGGACATATGTTGACATTAATAAAAGACTTATATTGATCCTTGACGTCGAAACACGTAGGATCACAATGCCTACCACAACTTGGTACTGCATTTGGATCACCTCCGCACGATGCTGCAAGAATGAAGATAAACTTTAATAGTTTTGTGCGATAAGATAATATAAGCAACCTGTATCAGAAACGTAAATATTAAAAGCTAGTTTTGGCCAGGTATATTATAATACTCTTTGTGGATAGTGACGAGAATAACGCCATAAATCGGGCACAATTACCGGTACTGGAAATTTTGAAAAGTATTAAAAAAAATAGATTAAATGTGGGCTTTACAGTGATACTTATGGCATCTCCAACAACGAGATGAATTTTGTGTGCCTTTCAAATTAAATTTCTAAACCAAAGTAGTTAAATACTTACGGCAACTTTCTTTAGGAATACATTTGCCAGTATCATCCCTTACAAAGCCGTCATTACACACGAATTCAAGTACTCCTTGACACTTGGCCTTGATTTGATCTGGATCTTCCTGTGTTGGACAGTCGATGGGAAAACCCAACTGGGAGCAGTATTGTGGAGTGCATAGAATGTTCATACATTCAGAGAGCTTTTTTTCATTTTCATCAAAACAATGTACTATAAACCAAAAAATGCGAGTTGAAATATTATTGTATCATAGTTTTTGGGTCTTGGGTGATCAAATAAAAGCTACTTGGAAGAAAGAGAATTTGCGAATGTAGCTAATAAGGAAATGTCGACATTTGACATTGATAAATTTTGATAAAATACAGTTTTAAAAAAGAAATTTGTATAACTGTGATATTTACCGTGACACACAAGAACAATAGTTGCTACTATCAAATGAAACAATTTGAAAATAGTCTTCTTTTTCAAAATACGTCCCATCTTGTCAAATAATATCTACAGAAAAAACAGTTCGAATGGGTCTCAAACTTTTATTTTAATACAATGACAACAAACATTAAATTATCAAGTATTTATTTATAATGGAAGCTGTTCATGCTCAATTGCATTTACACATTATGTTTAGGGATCCGTGCTCAACAACTGCGAATGAGTTGACAAGGTTCAACTGTCCGCTGATTTCATTTATATCGGTAGAAATTGAATAATAGAAACTAGCGGGAATTTCGAAACCGAACGGAATGAAGTATCTATGTATTCCTACTTTAGGATCACACTTTATCCATGTGCTCAAGACTCTACTACCGATATTATAAGGTTTAAGAGGTTGTTTGTAAGAATGTGATAATCCCTGGAAAAATAAATATTGATTGTCATTGTTCGAGGACGACTATCAAACATCACGCTACGAATGAACAGGAGCCGAGTAGCAGTGGGTGTAACCGCGTGGGAGTAGGTAGATGGATATACATTATACCTACCTATATAATACATAGGTCCAGTGACTAGAGTCTCGGTATTATTTTGTCTGTTTTTTATTGATCTGTTGTCAAGAGTCTATCTCTGTTACGCAATATTATAAGGTTGGCAGTAAATAAAGAAGTCACAAAGAAAAAAAATGTTTGTATGTAATGCACGGACCCTTCGACGGAATAAATTAATGAACGGCCTCAGTACGTCACTTATCATATGATTAATAATTATGTTTTTTTAAATTATAACTTGATAATATCGACGGTTGAAAGGCTAATTGATCTAAGCTAATATTTTACGCTATTGAGTTATATTTATAATTACTTTATATTCGTAATCAAGCGGATTTTTTTTCATCAATATTTTTTGTATATTATAGATATTGGGTATATGCCTATTGGTTACATGTATATGAATTGAGACGTCCTTGATAACATAATGGTATAATCAATGTTTTACTTTAAACGTTAAAAATAACAGTATTGTACATTTATTGTTTGTACTTAAGTAAAGTATGACGATATTTTTCTGTACAGTTTTTCTTCGGTGTCTTATTACTTACAATTTCTTAACAATAGTGTATAAAGACGGAAAATAACATATATAGGTACATGCATAACCGTACCTAAATATCCTTAGTTGATTACTAAACAAGCAAAACATACTTCAATAGTAAATCAGTCACAATATTTAAATTGTCAAAATAAAGAAATAAAGATGAATATGTATCTATATACTTAAAAGTACCTACACATAGATATAAAGTTCAAACTGCGTCGTCTAATATAATCTATAGTGAATAGTATAAACACACTTACTCTGTCATTTACTTAGCCCAGTCCTTAATCATTGTTATCGGAACAGAATCGTTACTAAAGAATAGTTCAAATAATCGCAAATGTCTGAGTACGGGAGTTACATATTGATGTATTTTGACATGGTGTAGGTTTAGAATATCTTTATTTCTCACATAATTCACTAACTTAGAAACAGTATTTCACACAAACGTAAGCAATTTAGAGCGCACAGTAGAACGCACATATAAACATAAACAATAAAAAAATAATATAAAAGCACAAATATTAATGTTCACTATTTAAAAATGTAGCCAAAATGATAAATTAACACAAAGAACAGAATCAAGTAACACGGGCAGTAAATATTCACTTACAACAGTCCGACATAGGTATGCATTCGCCTTGATCATTTTTGACGAGATCTTTCTTACATATGCAAGTCGGTCTGTCATTGTGACGCGGTTTCCTGGGACACTTCTTTTCCTGTCCTACTTCGTCACAGGTGAGAGGATCGCAGACCATTGAAGGATGTTCCTCGTATCGTTCCTTGGGACCACAAGTCGGAGCTAGGAAAATAAAGGTTATTAAAATTTGTTTCAACTACGATTAGTTGCGGTAATTTGATTAATTGGACCTAGAATGTCACTTTTTGCAAGAGTAGATTTTTTGTGTAACCCGTTATTAATCAGAAATGTATCTGACAATTTAAGCTTGATACGTCAAGGAAGTTGCAAAATTGTTTTGGATGGCATACAAAATGAAATCGATAAGAAAATATCACCATCTTTCATGTTTCTGAAAACTTCAGGAACCGAATCGATTATGGTCCAATCGCGCTTATTTTGCGATACTACGCTGTGTTACAGTAAAGGAGCGTTTTAAAACACTTTTATACTTACTGCAGTTTTTAGGTAAAACGCATTTCTTCTTATTATCATCGTACACGTAACTTTGTTTGCAGGCACAGCCACCCAAGTAACAGCCTATAGGGCACTTAAGATCTCCTTTCTTGTAGTCGGAACAACGTCTTCCGCAGTAATTACCACAGCCGGGTATTGCGTTTGGATCTCCTTTGCACGATACTGAAAATTTAACATTATTAAAAGAAACTTTAATAACATTATTGTGTTGTTGTTTTCGTATCTTATTGGTATCACTTTCTTAGAAATTCGTGCTAGAATTATGTGTATAATAAAGCTTTGGGCAATTCAGCCCAATATTCTTATTATTTTCAATACAATATTCAACTGACATTTGGCAAACATAATTATTATGAATTATCTGATAATCCGATCCGCCTTTTATCACCGAAGGGGTAGGCAGAGGTGCACATTATGCCACTTTTCACTATTTATGTTATGAGTCCCATGTAACAGGGGGTGAGTTTATCTGACAATGTAGTATATATAGTAGTATGTATATATTCAAGAAATATAGCTTTGGGGTGGATATTCTTAAATATTGTTAAACCAAAATTCAGTTGTTATTTGGCAAAAATGGATTAACTGATAATGTGGTCAATATTGACCATAGAATAATTAAGGACCATAAGGACCATAAGGACCATAGGATAATTAGGATAATTAAGTGATAATTCACTTAATATTTTAATTAGATAGTTCGTCGAAGTTACGTTTATGTCCGTTCGTACAATGCGTATATGCTTTAAAGTATAGATTGCTATGAAGTATAGTCGAATTTAAAAAGTATTTAGACTTTTTGAGGTATTAAGGGGACTGTGACCATACTTAGATATAATAGAAAAAGGCAAACTAGAAACTTACCATTACATTGTTTAATTGGTATACAGATGCCATTGTCATCTCGAGCGTAGTCTTTGAGGCAATAACATTGAGGGATGCACTTCTTATACTTAATCGGACAATTTGTTTGATTCTGCTGTGATAATGTAGAACACACGTTATCGCATGTACCACAAGTGAAGTACTCGTAAGGATTAGTACATTTTACTGTGAACAACATTGATGGAATTTATTTACTTCTGGTATTTTTGGTTCAATAAAACTGCAATGTGGATTTGAACGACAATATTTTTAGGATAAGATCGAAAGAGTTACGGGAATTATCAATAATTTTTTTTGATGCAACTATGTATTATTACGATAACAGTTAAAAATCTAGTGGATTATAAAACAGCATGTTATTGCAAACGAGAGAGGTGAAAAATAGGATTGGCCATAGTTGGACCCAGATGTTCATAATAACAACCTTATCTTGTGTATACTTACGACAATCCTCTTCTGATATACATTCTCCAATTGCGTTTCTATAGTATCCTTCTTCACACTGGCATCCTGGAGTACAATGGTCTTCGCCTTCTGGTGGATTCGGACAAGCATAAGCCCTTGTAAGGCTTTCACAGGTTTGAGGCGGACACGTTCTTTGGCACTTCACGTAAATTTCATGCGGTTTTGAGCATTTCTCTGTTACATGAAATATTTTTATTAGGAAATCGTCGTTATTTGTAGGTATTGTGTACGGGCTAATCATTTTAAGGTTCAAACCTAGATGAAACTAAAAAAATCACAAATGTGTGGTGTTCATCTAACAGTTTTGAATAATTTTATTTCGACGACTTGGCTCGAAAATCAACAATTTTTTAATCTCAATACTTACTTGGGCATTGGTCTTCAGGCACGCAGACTCCGTCATCATCCTTTAAGTATCCTTCTTGGCATACACAGGCTCCAACACACTCATCAGACTGTGGTTCAGACTCAGAAGACTCGTCAGTTTCTGATGGCTCTTCAGAAGAAGAATCAGAAGAGTCAGAAGAAGAAGTATCAGAAGATTCGGAAGAAGAATAAGTATCAGAAGAGTCAGATGAAGAAGAATCAGAATCATTAGGGGTAGGATCATCATGGTCTTCAGAAGTTGGTTCGTCTATTTGTGAGCATTTCGTTCTCTTGCATTCTTTATTAGCGCACTGTTTGTAGACTTCATTTGCTCCGCATGTTGGTGCTACATTATAATAATTGTGTAGAATTAGAGTATGACCAAACTAAGTTACTTTATTTTGCCTTCTTATTTTACTTAAACATCTGCACGTCTGTTTATGTCAAACGATCCCAGAAGAGTTATAAATATTTTTTATACATATTATCATTCAGCAACTAAAAGCTTTACTGACTATTTGATATTTAGGTACGAATTATACTTACTACAATTGGTGGGACGGACACATAGTCCTACGTTGCTATCAAATACGAAGTCTTCTTTGCAGTCACATCCATTAAGTTTACAATAAAGTGGACAGAATACGTTCTTTTTCTTATAGTTGGAGCATAACCTACCACAGTTCACACCACAACCAGATTTTGCATTTGGATCGCCTCCACATGAAGCTGTACAAAATGTTTTTTAGTTTTATAAAAACAGAAAGACAAAAACACAGTTTCATTGTTTTACAGAATTGGTAAAATATAAGTATTTTCTTAATAATAACAACATCGGAGATCAAAGGGCAAATAAAATAGCGGGAACCCACACTAGACAATACATTTTCTATTGTGTCTCATGTCATGTCGGTACATTCAATCGGTTATGCAGATGTTTAGTACTCGTGTTTATGTTTACTTATATAAAACTAACCATTTCGTAAGTAGTCACCGGTGGCCGTTCTCCACTTACTCCATTACATACCTTATATCCGATGTTTAGAGACTACTTTTGTATGAAAAAATGTTGTAGATTTTTCATAATCGAACACTAAGAAGTTAAATTACACAAAATATACTTACGGCAATTATCAATAGGAACACATTTGCCAGTATCATCCCTGACATAGTTGTCTATACAGATGCATCCAGGTTCTCCTGGACATGTGTCACTGTCGTTACCGCTCAGTGCTGGACAGTCTATGGGGAAACCCAACTGTGAGCAGTGTTGTGGAGTGCATAGAGCATCCGGACATTCATTGGGCATCTCATTTTCACCGCATTGCACTACGAACCAAAAATGTGGATTAATAATGTTATTGTATTATCATTGCCTCTGGGTCTTGGGTAATCAAATGAATGCCACTTTTCGGTAAAAACTGAACTTGCAGTACTAATGAATTAAGTTAAGAAAAAGGGCAAAATAAGGAGACATCAACATTGGCATTGATAAATCTTTATTTGGGCTTTTTTTGTGATCTTCTGACTACCCTGACCCTTCTGACGTCAAACAATTCTGATAAGTTTAGGATAGCATAAAGCCGATTACGATGATAACTATACATGACCTATTTTATTTGCTTATAAAAGAAAAAGTATTAACATCTCAATTTTTATGTATATAAACGCCATATTTAATTACCTGGACATTCTTCTTTTTTAACGCAAGTTCCATTATCAGCTCGTAAATATCCTTCTACACAGATGCATCCTTTTATACATCCACCTTCAATAATGTTGACGCAAGGGACTGGCTTTCCCAACTGAGAACAGTTTCTGGCAGCACAACCTCCATTGACACAAGCTGAATATTCTTCATTTTCTCCACATGTTGGTGCTGAAAAAGATGTAGTTTGATCTTATTCTACTTTAGGTGTATCTAGTATTATATTTATCCAACCAAAAACATTTTATAAAACCAAGCCAAGTTTCGATGGAGCCGCTTGTTCATTTCTATAAAGTAATGAAATCTAAACCATGTCTAAGGTTCCTTACTGCGATTTCTTTATTATTATAGTTAATATTGTGAGACTTGGCCGTTGAAGGGTACACTGCCGTGCCCCCAGATACCTAAAGTATTTTGGATTTTATTATTTAGAATACAGTAAATAAGGCCGACTGCCGTTGTTGTTGGCTGAGTGGTCGCAAATGCGACTGCCGGGCATGGGGTCTCGGGTTCGATTCCCGTGTCGGGCAAAGTATTACTGAGTTTTCAAAAGAATCTCTCTAGTAGCACGGAGTCTGGAATTGTGCCCGATATATGGCAGTAGGCTCACCCCGTATTAAATGGGACTCATAACAGAAATAGTGAAAAGTAGGGGTTACAATGTCCAGTGGCTTGAAGTGCCGTAATGTGTACCTCTACCTACCTCTTCATGGATAAAAGGCGTAATGACGATAATCAACTGATTATCATTATCACGCTATCACATAGCAGATTTTAATAACTATTAAGGCTGGATTTTGTATAACTTTACATTACAGTTTGGACGTCCAAAGACGACAATAATGTTTAATGAATTCATCATTCCTAAATTGTTAAAACTGTCTCAGTTGTTTGTTCACTAAGTTGACTATGGCCCGTATACTGATATGAAAGGCTTTTCAGTTTTAATTCGCGCTTAAGTATAGTTCTATCAATACAAAAAACTATGTAAAGTGACAGAGATGGCACGGTATTTAAATACAACTTAAGATTGAGTACCCTTTCAGTATTTCGGATATTGTGTATAAAATTACTTATTTCATATTTGACTTACTGCATTGTTCAGGCTTAACGCATTCATCGGTGTTATCATCATATACATATTCCTTTTTACAGTCACATGCATTGAATTTGCAAATTCTAGGGCAAATAACGTGTTTAGCCTTGTAATTTGAACAACGTCTACCACAATTTATACCACAACCAGATTCCGCGTTCCGATCGCCACCACATGATGCTGTAAAGGAAATGTTATACCATTTTTTGTGGATACCATGTAAAGATAGCACAGAATATACGATTTTATTTTGTTCTAAAACTTTCAAGTTTGGTAATCAGTAGAGGACACATTAATGACTGGTATATAATAAAATCAAGGATGAGGACTAACGATGTTCTGTCCAATTATAGAAACTATCCAAAATTGGGTACTTGCCAACTAGCCAAATTCAATACTTTTTTCGAACTGTCAAAAACGTCGAACTCGAACAGTTTAATTTGGGATTTTGTACGAGATTGTGTATTGTAACTACACGTTTTTTAGCGGCAAACAATATACTTATTTCTTAAAAATTTGCTAGAAAATAACTAAAATTAAGCTGGTCGTAAAATCACCTAATGGACATGTGATTATTTTAGTCTCATATAACAGTCTCATAGAACAGTCGAAATACTTTAGTTTTGGTTACGGAAAATAACCAATTGAGTATTCAATAGTTTAAATGACCAGATTAGATAAACATGACCTCACGCTGTATTAGCGCACACAACCTCGATATTTTGAACTACAACTAGGTGTAAAATACATTTACTATTAATAATACTCACGGCAACTTTTTTTAGGAATACAAGTTCCCTTTTTGTTCCTTACATAGCCATAGTCACAAATACAAGCTGGTTTGCCATTACATTCATCTCCTGCATTTGCTGAGCAATTTAGTGGAAAGCCTAGTTCGCTGCAAGTCTTCGGTTCGCATGTACTGTCTGGACATTTCTCATATCGTTCATTTGTACCACATGGAATTGCTGTCAAGTAGAGTAGGTAATTTATCATCTAGAGTTTTATTTATGGCTTTGATAGTAATAATTTACGTTATTAAACACAGAACCGATGGTGACTATATCATCTTATTTTAACAATTCGAAAAAATATGGTCAATAATTCACAATATTTTTCATAATATCTTGAAAAGCTTAATATTTCTAAGGAATACGTTAAAATACGTTTTTATCGTGATACTATGTCCGTCATGACGTTGCAACGATATTAAAAATACGGTACCTATAATAGGATATGACGTTATACAAGACCAAAAGTAATACTAACTGCAGTTTTTACGTTTGACACATTTTTCTTGATACTGGTCGTAAACATAGCCCTTTCGACAATCGCAACCGTTGTATTCACAGATATCGGAACAAGCCATATCTGTTTTGTTATGGTTAGGGCAGATTTTGCCACAGTTTACTCCACAACCGGACACAGCGTTGAGATCACCTCCACACGAGGCTGAAACATTGAATATTTTTACACCTCTCGCGATTTCGATTTCCATTTCTGCCTCTAGGGGCTAGTTGAAACGGTGCGTGAGTATAAAATAGAAAGATTTAAAAAATTGTGTTATTGCACTTGTGCACAGCTAGCAACACGACTTGAAAAAAATAAAATCAGAATTAAGATGATGATGATAAAGCACATATTTCTTTTCAGATTTTATTATTGGACTAAATACATAATTTTTATTATAACCATTAATTTATGATAATTATATGTATAGTCGTCTACTTACGGCAATCTTCCTTAGGTATACATTTCCCTTCATCATTTCTCACATAGTTTTCTTTGCAGATACAGCCTGGTGGTACAGGACATTGACCGTCCACGAAATCTGGACAGGCTACAGGGAAGCCCAACTCTGTGCACTTTTGTGGGGCACATACTGCTGGCGGACAATCTACTGGCATTTCGTTTTCACCACATTTTAGATCTGGGGATATTATAATAAACAAGTCAGAAATTAAAATAAAAGGTCTGTCTACCGCCTTGTTTCTACGAGACTAATTACGTTAATCCCCGATTATAAAATTCCACAACATTTGTTCATATAAAAGTAGAAATAAGGTCTATAATGGAGTAAGTGGAAAGTGGTCACCGGTGACCGCTTCGGGATTGGGCAGTTAAGTCTGTGTGTAACCACACTAAAGGCCACACAAACTCCAGAAAACTGGGCGTTGAGTTTATTAAAGTCATTTGCAAAATATACTTACTATCACATTGATCTTTTGGAACACAAGTACCATTTTTGGCACGCAAAAATCCCTCTTTACAAACACAGCCCTTCTTACAATAATCAGGATTAATCTTAACACAACGTATTGGTTGTCCTAGTTGCGAACAGTTTCTTGGACCACATCCACCATTGATGCAGCTTGAGAATTCTTCATTGTCTCCACAAGGGGGTGCTGGAATAATGTTATTGGTAAGAGAACTTTCTCAATAAACTGTAAATTTCTAAGTAAATATATTTAGCACTACCTTTATTCTTCCAGCCAGTATAGAGACTAGACAGCAGAGTGACGAGACATGCTATTGACGATGATGATGATATTTCTCATAAAATTGGTAAAATACTTACTGCAATCTTCAGGGTCAACACATTGCTTTGTATTATTATCATAAACAAAGCCCTCCTTGCAGGCACAGGCATTTGGGTAGCAGATCTTTGGACAAGGTATTGGCTTTGGATACTGGTTGGGACAAAGTTTGCCACAGTTGACTCCACAACCTGCTTGAGCATTGGGATCACCACCACATGATGCTGAAAGATGGGAAATATTCGTTATTGATGCAAAACCTCTTTGAGCGTCGAGGTTAAGAACTTTTTTATAGATAAGGCCCATAGGTTTCGATGACGATTATGGACATTTGATGTTGTTTTATTTGGTCAAGGTCATATTTTAGCGAATAGTAAATAAAACTCAACTTACGACATTTTGACTTATGCACACATTTTCCTTTACTGTTTCTTACGTAGTCGTGTTCACAGATACATCCTGGAGGTACTGGACAGCCACAGTCTGAGTAGTCTGGACATTCGATGGGGAAGCCCAACTGTGTACAATTTTGTGGAGCGCAGACCGCCGGTGGACAATCCACAAATCTTTCATGTTTGGGGCATTTTGGTTCTGTAGGGGATAAAGTAGTTTTAGTAAGTGTTCGAATTAAAGGTCTTTAAATAAGTTGTGATATACATACAAAAATATATGATACCTAAAGGTAAACATCAAAATTTCTAGTTTTAATTGTAGGAGAACCATGCTTCGGCACGCATGGGCTGGCTCGACCTGAGTGATAATACGGCTTCACAGAAAACTGACGTGAAGCAACGCTTGCGTTTTGTTTACCGGAGACCCAATTAACCTCCTCTTCCCCATTCTCCCCAATCCCTGAATCCCAAACGATCCTCAATCTCCTTATCCCTAAAAGGCCGGTAACACGTATCGCCTCTGATTCCAGGTGTCCATGGGCGACTCCGATTGCTTACCATCAGGTGATCCGTCTGGCATAAGCCGGTAAACGACCGGCTTATGCCAAAAAAAAAAAAAGTTTGAAATTGTCAATCTGCAATCTACTTGAGCAAACGTAGTGATTAATGCAGTGGGACAGACACGATGATGATTATGGTACCTAATGTTGATATAATAAAATGAATATTAACGACCATAAAACAAGATTATACGTACTTGGACACTTTTCAATAGGTATACAAGTGTTATTTTCATCCCTGGCGTATCCTTCATCACAATAACACATTTGGTTACATTGAATGTTTATAATAGGACAATGTGTTTGATTCTGTATATGTATCGTCTCACATACATTGTCACACGCACCGCCACATGAGAAATATTCGTGAGGACCTCTACATTTCACTGTAAAAAGAAAGATGATTAAATTAAAGGTGATATGATTTTCTTTAAAATATACTTTTTTATACTAAAAACCAATCAGAAACTGAAGTGATGGAACTGTTTAACTTTATACGTAAGATCATCATGTTAAGGAAAGTTAATAAGAAAGAATAATTAAACGTAGTTACGTTTCAATCAAGGGTATACCATTAGATTAAAGAGTAACAACTGAAAATTAATGTTAATATTAATTTAGTTTACAGCGGTCCACTTACAGCAATCCTCTTTACGAATACATTCTCCAATTTTGTTTCTATAGTATCCTTTATCACACCGACACGCTCCTTTGCAAACTTTAGTTGCGGCACATTTGAATTGTTTTCCAATGCTCCCACAGGTTTGTGGTGGACAAGTTGATGGACATGACTCGTAATGTTCATGTGGTCTGTTGCAATCTATGAAACAAGAGGTTCATGTGTAGAATATGGTGTGAAGTGTAGAAGTAGCTGTATTATAGGATCAACACAACAGAATCTCTTCGTTACATTGTGTTAAAGCATGAAATTGAATAATGGGTTAATAATTTGGTGTATCTTGATTTGCTGTTATCTGATCAAAACATTTTATACTTACGATCACATTTATCTTTTGGTACACAAGTACCATTTCTTGCACGCAAATATCCTTCTTTGCAAATGCAGCCCTTTATACAGTCATCGGGGTCCATTTTAACACATGGCACTGGTTGTCCCAGTTGCGAACAGTTTCTGGCGTCACATCCTCCATTGGTGCAGTTTGAAAATATTTCGTTCTCTTTACAACGCGGTTGTTCTGGAAAGTTATTATTAATGTGGTCGAGTAAGGTAAGCGCCGTAAAAAGTGTTAAAAATTAAGGGGCGATTCTAAGGATTGTTTTTTTTTAAGAGGGGAATATCATCAACTGACTGCTCCCGCCTGGGTGAGGCGGGAGGGAGTGTCAGACTCTTGCTGACTAAAAACCACCCCGTTCGTTCTCCTGCACGTCGAGCCGGAGCCCTGGTTACCTGTTAGGTTCTCCGCGACACGATTCTAAGTCCAAAGCAGACATAGTGAATAGGCTTTATGCCACATTAGTACTTCAGATCGATACAAATGAAGCTATTAAGGATCACATTAAAGAACAAAACAATAATAAAAGATATGACTTACTTGGACATTCCTTAATAGGTATACAAGTATTGTTTTTATCTCTTGCATATCCTTTCTCACAGTAGCACTTGCGATTACACTGTATGTTTTTAATAGGGCAGTGGGTTTGATTCTGTTTGTGTATCGTCTCACACACATTATCACACGCTCCGCCACATGAATAATATTCGTGAGGACCTGGGCATTTTTCTAGAAATTTAAAAAGTAAAAGTAAATTGAAAAATATTGGTTGAAAACTTACAATAATTCAAATGAATCGTATTACAAATTTTAGCTTATATACTACTTAAAATAATAAAACTTCTTTAGTATTTATCTTATATTACGATTTGTAATATGTAGGATAATACAGGAGCAAATAACGCACAATTTTGATTTATCTAAAACAGAAAAATAAACAATTAAAGGTTTTTACATCCAATAATTCAGTAGATCGACACTATTACATTAATCGGTTGAACCAGCACTTTAACTATGGAGGTTGAACCAGACGCTGGTAAATAGGATTAGATGTGCCTTGAATAGCAAAGGGAAAGAAATAGCCTGGACAACCGTCGCAATGGATTGTGTAAAAGCCTACAACTCTACAAACCATACAGTGACAGGTTATTCACCTTTATATCTGTTAAGTGGAGAACAGACTGATGTGCTACCAAAGGACCTTAAAACAAATCAAATGGAACCTGGAAAACTGGAAAAAGACAGACATACAGCATTTCTAAGATCACAAAAATCTCATCAATTAAACAAAGCAATTTTTGACAAGAATAGAGTAGATTACAAGTTTAAAAAAGGAGATATGGTTTACATAATGGACTGCAATAAGTTGAATAGATCTAAATTGGATGAAATTAGAATAGGTCCTTTTAAGATTGAAGAAATGGTATCGGATTCACTATGCAAAATCAACACTGGTAAGAATAGAAGACACTTGGGATTGTACCATGTGACAAAGCTCATTCCCCAATTTGGTTGCTCAAATTAAACCTAGTTAATTTGCACTTTAAAGGGGGGAGATGTAAGATGCTTTGTATAATGTGTGTGCACAGCCTTATTACCAGCCTTGTGTTCGTCGCCTAACAATAATGACGTTTGACACATAGTGGGACAGTGACAGCGGACAGCAGCCCGCGCTTTTTTTGATAGAATGCAAAACCTCGGGTAGATTTATGATTGTAATATTTTCTAATTGTTTCAAAGTTTCATAGAAGAAAAGTTAAAGTGCTGGTTCAACCGATTAATGTAATAGTGTCGATCTACTGAATTATTGGATGTAAAAACCTTTAATTGTCGATTTTTCTGTTTTAGATAAATCAAAATTGTACGTTATTTGCTCCTGTATTATCCTACATATTACATATATATTTCGGTTTCTTATATCGTAGTCTTATTTACGTTGATCATCACAACATGATAGCAATCTTATTTTAGTTAGTATAGATAACTTACTGCATTCTTTCTCCGATATGCATTCGCCAATTTTGTTTCTATAGAAGCCTTCTTTGCATCGGCATGCGCCTTTGCAATCTTTTTCGTCTATTTTAATCATTGGACAATGATATATTTTCCCAATACTTTCACAGGTTTGTGGAGGACAAGTTTGGGGACAGGATACATATTCCTCATTTTTACCAGTGCATCTTTCTGAAATAATAAAAAGAGTGTTACTGTTAAGCAAATGAAAACATCCCAACACGTAATACAATTTCTGTTTTATTCTGAGACAGTAGCAAAATACGTTTTCTAAAAACTGTTTTTTTTTTGGTCTGCTTTATTGTGGCTATACCATGTTTATACGACAATTAAAAAAAAAACGTTTCCCCACGTTAGGATTTTCTCCTGTAGGTGCGTTTACAAACATACAAGTTCACATACACAATGACACCTAGACCCGGAACAAAAATGTGTGGATCACACAAAGTGTTGTTCCGTGCCGGAATCGAACCCACGACAGCCGGTTGCCCAGCCACCGCACCAACCGTGCAGTCATATACAATGAATACACAAGTCTAGATTGACTTACTTTTACATTGTTTGGGATGAACACATTTTTGTTGTTCCTCGTCGTACACATATCGTTTTTTGCAGTCACAGGCATTTTGCTGACATTCAGCTGTACAAGATACATTGCCATCTTTGTAATTTGAACAAAGTCTACCGCAGTTACCGCCACAACCTGCTACGGCATTTGGATCACCACCACATGAAGCTGCAAATAATATAACATAAGTATTTACATCCCCTCAAGAATATGTAGATATTTATACGAATACAATATTTTTTGTCATACCTAATATGAAATTAAGACATTTATAATAAAGTATTTAAGAGAAAATTGCCTCGTTGGCTGAGTGTATTATTATGGCAAGTATATAACTATGGCAGGCTCGGCCCCTATTACATGGGATTCATAACATAAATAGTGAAAAGTGGGTGTTAAATTATACAGTGGCATAATTAGCGCCTCTACTTACCTCTTGGGGGTAAAAGGCGTGATGTTATGTCATGTATTTAAGGGAAGTTAATCTTGTAGTGACCCTGGTGACAGCAGAGTAAAATAAATATTTTACATAGTCTTCTCGTGGATGCCTAGGTTCGACTAAAATATTTTTTTTTATAACAAAGACCGAGCAGTAGATCTCCAATGTACTTATTATACGTGGATAACTTCTTTCAGAATGTCCATAATAGTCTAGCTGTCTAGCAAATGACTCTCACGTTAATTATGATGAAAAGTTAAAATACTTACGACATTCAGTAGCTGGAATACAAGTTCCATTTTGTCGTACGTAGCCTTCTAAACAAACACATCCGACTTTACAGTACTTTTGATCCATTTTAACGCAGCCTGTAGGGAACCCTACATCATCACACGTCCAAGGTCCACAGCCACCATTACTGCAGTTCGAAAGGACTTCGTGCTTACCACATGGGGGTTCTATAAAATATATTTGTGACATTAATATGCAGTAGGCATCATCAGCATTCAAATACTTTCACCAAATCAATATTTGAACATCAAAAAACTAATGTGTTTTGACGTTCAAATGTGCCTTCCTGGTCTAATTAAAATAAATGATTTTGATTTCGATTTTAATTTTGACTTTGACTTTGACTTTGACTTTGACTTTGACTTTTTATAATAGCATACAGTTTTTTATAGCATTTGAATAGACAATAAACAAAATTGGTATATAGTTTCTGAGAAGTCCAAAATTAAAACCATCAGACAAATTTTCATATCTTCGATACTTTTTCAAAATAGAAACTACTTACTGCAAGACTCAACCCGAACACATTTCTTAGCTTTAGGATCGTACACATATTCGTCCTTGCACTTGCAACTGTCTTTGTAACAAACACATTCGTCTGGCTTCGGTCCAGGACAGCGCTCGGAGCAATCTTGATCACAACCAGGTTCAGCGTGATGGTCGCCCTTACAAGATACTGTTAAAGAGAATTTTATAGTTAGATATTTTTATAATCACATCACACATCAACAGCCTACAAATAACCATTGCATTCCAAAAAGGTTTGAGCATTAATCACCACGCTTGCTCAATGCGGGTTGACAATTTCTAACTAATAATTAGAAATTATAAGTCCAGGTTTCCTCACGATGTCTGCCTTCGCCGTTTTCAATGGAGTGTAAATAATCTTACAAAGTACATATGACTCAGGAAAGTCATATTGGTACTTGCTGTTGGTTGTTTTCGAACCTGCACCCTAAAGCATGATAAGTCTTAAAACTCCGGGCATCTATGACTGACAATTAAAATGAAAATAGCATTGACATGATGCTTTAGTAGCTTGCACAAGATCATGTCTCATGTATTGTCTTATCATGGGAAAGGGGATGTTGAAACTTCTTCAGAATTCTTTAAAAACTTGAAAGAAAGATTGTAAAGTAAGTAACGTAATAAACCAAAACTATTCCATTAAACCAAATCCACTTATGTATCAAATAAATCCACATCCGACATTAAGCCCGTCATTGTATAATTGTATGTTCAGAAAGTGTTGAATAAAATAATATACTCATAACATAACATTACATCCAACATTCAAACAACAAAACTATGTAACTGGAGAATTGTGAACTTGATTGAAAAAGAGTAACCTATGGAGTTTCTTGCTTGTTCTTCTCCATAGGAATCTACACCTTGGAATTAGCAAATAGCTTCACTTGTTAATTTTCTTTATTGACGTTCAAAAGTGCCTCTATGGTCTAATTGAAATAAATGATTTTGACTTTGACTTTGA